ATTTAATATGCAGTCGTAGCGACAAGCCCCTCCGATACCGAGCATGTAATTTAAGAACAGCCGAGAGCAGCAACGCTTCAGCCCGATCCAAACCACACAGGTAGTCGGTCAGATTAAGGTCCAAAACCTTCGCTTTACAGCCGTTTAAGTGGCACCGATCCACATGAAAAACCAAAGAACAAATGGTACAAATTTCCCGAATCCTGAAAATGACATTTACCTTTGCTGTTTCATAATTATAATCCATGTTAGAGTGAATTTTTCCCTTGGCTGCTATAATCTGTTCTTGAGTTACACAACGTAATTTCTCTTTTTTTTTTCTCTGAGATTCTGCTTAGAAAATGAAGTTATGAAGTTATATCCTCCCGCTGCCTTTCGTTTTAAAAATGGTAAATTTAGGTTTGCCTCGACTTTTATAAACTAATGCCTTATATGCATCATCTTTGTATTACTGTTGGTACAGATATCAGGTGAACACTGTGCTTTGCCTGCTAGTAGTTTAAATTAATTTCAGCTGCACACTTTCAAAAGAGTATTCAGATTTTAACATGCATTTTCTAAGTAGTATTTTAGTTCACTCTTACTCAGTAACTTAAGTGTTGTTACAACCCTGAAACATTTTTTGCAGTTTCTTTGTGATACCAGAACTATTTCACTTAAACATTTAATTTCCTGAGAGCCAATTTATGTTCAAGCAAACTCTCAAAAAGAGCTGAGGATTTATTAGTTTTGATTACATTGTGCAGTTAAATATGGATGCTTATTAGTTTTTTGTTTGTTTTTAATTTTTCAGGTTTGCATCGCAACACCTCGTGTTTCTGAGCCATGATCGCTGTGCTGATTACCTTTCCATTGGATCCAAGCACCTGGACCAGCTGATGGCGTCCATCAGTCCACTGTCTGCCGGATCATCACAACATGGACTAACTTTTTATTTACTTGGTTAAACTATGATCTGGAAACCGGAGCACCAGATATGCAAAAATCTACCTGCAGACTTTGTTGGCTACCCTGACACTGCAGTCATCCTGGATGGGGCTGAGCCGCTCTTCCTCTCCTCCAGAGTGACGAGTTTTCATCACCAGTAAAGGCAAACAAGTCTGACGTCTGATTAGCTGCTAGAAAGTATATTATATATTCACTGTTCATTTTGCTATCCTGTTTGTACCTACAATAAAATTGAATCTCATTTGTAATACTCTACATTTCACAAACCTTTTTTCCCCATTTCTCAGTTTTTATGTTATATCAAGTATTTGCATGTAGATCAGGAGTTCAAGTGAGATGTTAAAATGCAACACTTTTAGGTAATACCAGCAAAGAAATGTGAATATAAAGTAATATGTAGTTGGTCATATAATTTAATATACTGAATAAGGCTGCACGATATGACTTACAAGGTTTTTTTCATACCAAATTTGATTTTAATCGATTCCTCCTGCCCTCAATTGCTATAATAAAATCACAGAAAATATTTTCAAAAAGTGCCTTTATTTCAATCATCTGTTCTGTGAGTTGTATAAGGGAGCATTACGGTCAGGATACAAGATTTTTTAATTGCAAGAATGCAGTCATTGTTGCAGCGGAATAAAGATGCAATTTTATAACACAATGTCTTAAAATTACAATAAGTCATTTTAATGAGAAATAAAGATTCAGATTGATCTGACATAACCAGCTCAGTCCATGTGGTTCTGACATTTGTCAGTAAGAGGATGTACATTTTCACCTCAACTGACCATGTAAGCATTATGGTAAAAATAAAAAATAGAGCAAATACTGTATACAAAACGGAAAAAGAGCAACTGATAGAAATGCTTTCTATATAAAGAAAAGCAAAAAAGTTAATAGCAGGAGAAAAGTTGTTGACAACATTAGCTCAGCCGATCCCTCCCTCCAGGAAGCCATCAAACAGAACTCCTGTTCAACTCCAACTATAATAAAGATTTTAAAAAAAGAAAGAAAACGGAAAGTTAAAATAACAAATGATGCCAATTTAATAATTCAGATCTAATGCGTTCTGGAATCTATTATTGACATTTTACAAATTTCACAAATCAATTAGAAGGTTTCACAAATGTTTTATTTATTCTGCTGTTAGTACAGAATAATATAGTTAGGTTTGAAATGACTAGGTGTTGTAGTTTTTAAAGTACAACACATTAAAAAAGCTCAAGATAGTGAAAAATTAAGAGTAACTGCCCTTTAGCTATTTTCCGAATTAGATGCTACATTCGGAACCTAACTTGAGCTTCGACTGATAGCTTGGGCACAATATAGACAGATCTCTATGTGTTTATATAGATATATACTGTCAAAAAAATAAAGGGAACATTTCACTTTAACTTTGTGTGTGGCTCCAAATCCAGGCCTCCATTGGTTAATAAATTTGAAATTTTTGTGTGATTTTGTTGTCAGCACATTCAACTTTGTACAGAACAAAGTATTCAATGAGAATATTTCATTCATTCAGATCTAGGATGTGTTATTTGAGTGTTCCCTTTATTTTTTTGAGCAGTGTATACATCTATATCTATCTATATAGCATAGATAGATTGCACAATGCATAGATAATCAAAACACTTAACGTTTACATAGCACCTTTATAAGCTTGTCCCTGTTAGCTACGTCAGACATATGAGGCATTATGGTGAATACAAACGATTTATTAACTTACCTTCGAAGTTATTGTGAAGTTTTGACACATCCAGCTTAAATCCTTTGTTCTTGTTGGAGCGTTTCAGGACGTCTGAATAATTATAAAGGCATCATTAATAGTCCTGCAGCGACTGAGCAGCCACTGTACACATACTGTTGCCTGTGCACCGGAAGCAGTGTATGTGGCAAAAAAAATGCGGAAGTGCTAAAACAGAAGTCCGTGGCATATACCATAAACATAATATAA